AAATTTTTGACATGCAGTGTAATTCTTAATTTGATCTCTCTCATCAAAGAGTGCTGACACAATAACTTGTCCTACACTTGTCCTGTGACTTGACCGACACACCCTGCACAAGTCAAAGATTACAACCAAGGAGGGACAGCCTCTTTAGTAATCTTAAATAAGGAAAAAAGACAGCAGGTGTAGAGGTCAAGGATACAGAGACCTGGCAAGAATTATACAGACAAGCTCAGGACAGGATAAGGTCACCTGGTAATCTAATAAACCAGCATTAGGGACCATCATCACTCTGGAATTCCATGCTAGCTCACTTACATGTACATGTACACATATGTACATGTCTATATGTAAATGATTTGATCAAAAACTGAGAGAGTGAAACTTGTACATGTACTTTTAGTCTGTAAAGCTTCAGTTTGTTAATTTCTCTAAAAGAATGCGTTTGAAAACATTGACTCCACGCTCATTTTATTGAACATTACATGATCCTTCAAGTACATGTAAATGTGGATGGCAGGCAACCTGAAACCTTTTTCAGGCAACCTTTTTCAGGTTTCTGTACTATGAAGCAATCCCATGGTGTTAACATTCCTTGGCATGTCAAACAACTTTCAAAACTGGGATTTGGGAGCCTGGGAGTTCTTCTGACTCACAAAAAATAACTTCTGTGCAAACAGATGATGTGGCCATCCAGAGCTTGATGGCACAAGTCAATGACTCAATGTTACACAGCAGAAGGGCTCAAACTACATGTACCAGTATACCAATTCCTCTCTCAGTCATTGCCAAATGATAAAGATCACAGTCCTGGAATTACGAAGCTGAAGTAAAAAAGTGTCTAATTACATTTTAAAAAAGACACAGATCCCTAACTGGAAAACAGTCAACATACATGTACCGGTACATGTACATGACAGAATTTACACAGATTTAACTGTATGGTACAACCTTGTCAGAAATGAGGTTAAATGAGAATTGACTAAGATACAGTACCTGTACACTGTACATGTATGTCTAAAAATGTCAGCTTTAGTACAAAAGCACTTCTTTTTCCCAAACCTACATGTATCAGTACTGGTATTATTCTTCAATTTTCATTTGTCAGCAAACACAAATCTAATTCTAACTACTATTACATGTACATGTACTTAACAAACATGCACCACAGTGGGTCCAGTCAATAAATAACAGTGTCTTAGCAATGTTTATCCTAGAGGTTCCATGGCCTAGAGAGACAGTGTGTGCTTGCTATTTTTAATTTGACCTTCTGCAAAGACAGCATAATTTGTGGAAGCCTCATGCACCTGATGAGCAGCCTTCATGTCATGAATCTGTGTGGCTCAATGGTTATGCTACATATCCTTGTGTGTGTATTTCCCCCAGAAAGCCAAGTTCAGTACAACAGCTGGTATCTCAGCCAAACATGGACAGTATGCAGTTGTAAATGTCTTTGCTGCACTCATTTTATATACTTTTGGCATTAAAGTTTATGTGGTAAAATGTGGTAAATAAACAAAAAGAAACCTTACACTGCCTTTCTTGGTATTGACTCTAGAGGGTTGCAAAAACTTCAGGAATTGTCAGCAGTCACATGTATCCTGATCACATTAATGGATCAGGATTTTGAAAATAGTTTTGAAGCGTAAATTACATCCTTGTCAGAGAGAAAATTGTAGTCTATATTGTTCTGTTTAAAACAAACTGAACAGCAGACAGGGAAGATTCATTTCAGGTACCGGTATTTATCTTGTCAAACTGAAATTTGAAATTCTTGGTGAGTTTCAGAGAAAAGGTGGGGCCATTTCATGTTCTATACCATACATGTGTACCTGTACAAAGTACATGTATGCTCACATGTGTATACATGAACCGGTATGTGCTGAGACTGTTTAAATAATGTTCCACTATGTACATCTTTATGTATGTATTGGGTGAACAGGATGACTCATCTACACGTACCAGTACATGTGAATTATATGTCATTCTTATGCACATTTATTGTTATAAGGCATACACTTTTAACTAATAACTATAATCAAAACAAATTAATCTGCATTAAATCCAAACATGTATGTACATGTACGTAAAAGCATGCCTCACATGCAAGTTACATCAGCACTCTACCAGTAGAACGTAAAAACGATTGACTGTAATTTATTGACAGCACATTTCATATTGACGACATCACATGCAGTAACAGTATGTCCAGAGAAGACTGTGATGTTTTTGTAAGGCATTTCAATGGACAATTCCTTTGGTGGCTTTGATACGCATTATGCAAATGACCCAACATGCATTAAATCAGATGAACATGTACACAGGTAATGTTAATGGATCCAATATCTTCATGTACCCAAAGTGGCTGTGCACTGTACATATGTGTTGGTACATGGATGGTCAGGAAAGTCACACAGACACCCACAAGTGTGTATTTGCC